GGGAAAGTCTCGGTAAGACTGTATCAATAAGTTGCAGAATTAGGGACTGAGAGTTAGCTCTAAAATCACAAAAATGCAGAAGAGACCTTCAGATGATGTAATGACGCAAATAACACATTAACCAATGATGAGCTATAGTCTTGCACTATGCATGAGCTAATTAAGTATTGTATTTAACCAAGTGTATGACTATCATTAAATTTAGAGTTTGCTGATGACCATCTGGTGTCACCTCTCCCTTCTTCGACAAAATGGTGACCACATAAGAGAAAACTAAACTTGATCTGGGTCCTCCCTCACCCAGAAACAAACCCCGTGCTTGGGCTGTTTGGGGTTTCCAAGTTCTCTGCTGTCCCCTGGCCAGGTGAACACGCAGCTCTACAGCCTGAAGGAGAAGCAGCAGCTGGCTGAGCTCATCAGCACCATGCTCACCTACAACCTCACCTACCTGCAGGAGCGCCTGCCCGAGGGCCAGTACGTCTTCAAGCTGGATCCGTGAGTGCCGGGGCTGGGGAGGGGGACTGGGAGCCAAAATCCTCCCCTGGGAGGGTGGAACAGAATTCCCAGAGAAGCTGGGGCTCTCCCGTCCCTGGAAGTGTCCAAGGCTGGGTTGGATGGGAATTGGAGCAAGTGGAAGGTGTCAGGGTTGGAGCTGGGTGATTTTAAGATCTCTCCCGACCCAAAGCGTTCCAGGATTCTGTGATGATCCTCAGGAAGGAGTTGGGACTTTTGGCTTTGCTCCTTCCCCAGATCAGCTGCCCCATCACTGCCTCGGGCTGAGGCTCAGCAGGTTGGGTTTATTTAATGGGATTAAAGGGAAGGGAGCAGCTTCCTGTGGCTGTCACCAGGAGGTGGCAGGACAGGGCTGAAGTGCCCAGCATCTCTGGCAAACAAATCTGATGTCACCAGCAAAACCTGGCTTTTATTTCTTTAAAACTTTCTAAAGCATTGGTTTGACAACTGATTTCTGAGTGACTGCAGAGCCACCTGACTCCAGGCTTTGCTCCTTTTATTTTAGGGCAATAGTAGTGGATAAATTGTGGACAAATAGCAAAAAATTAGTGGATAAATAGTGGATAAAGATGAAATATTCAGAGCTGGCAGGGGGACTGGTTTCCCTCAGTGCTGGGGAAACTGAAACAGGCCTGTTAAGAATCCAGCTGCTCTGCTGATCCCAAATTCCTGTTCCTGGCTGGATTCCCATTAAACCTGTCCTGGGGGGCACCTCGGGGTGCCTCTGGAGCTCGTGCTGCTGCCGTGCCTGAGCTGTGCTGTGCCCCTGAGCTTTTCAGGGCAATCTGTCCAGCACAGCTCCAATCTCCTCTTTTTGCTTTCAAGCCAGGATTAAACCCCTCTAATCCCTCCTGCATTCCCATTGCCATTCCTGCACGGGGGGGAAACTGAGTGGGGAATGACCCAGGGGCGGGGCTGGGAGGTGCTGGGGCTCTCAGGCTGCCCAGAGCTGGCTGATTTTTGGGGTTGCTTCCCCCTGGAATGACCCAGGGGTAGGTCTGGGTGGTGCTGGGGCTCTCAGGCTGCACAGAGCTGGCTGATTTTTGGGGTTGGTTCCCCTTGGAGTGACCCAGGGGCAGATCTAGGAGGTTCTGGGGCTCTCAGGCTGCACAGAGCTGGCTGATTTTTGGGGTTGGGCGGGTCTGGGGCTCTCAGGCTGCCCAGAGCTGGCTGATTTTTGGGGTTGGGCAGGTCTGGGGCTCTCAGGCTGCCCAGAGCTGGCTGATTTTTGGGGTTGCTTCCCCGTTTCTCTGTGCTGCAGGGACGTGGAGGCTGTGTGCCACTTCCCGGCGCTGCCGGCCCGCAGGCAGCTCAGCTACCAGGCCAAGCAGCTCATTGCCAGGGAGATCGAGCTGGAGAAGATGAGGAGGGCAGAGACACGGAGCCTGGCCCAGGTGGGCACCCCCAAAGGGCTGCCAGGGCTTGTGGATGTGCAGGAAATCCCCAGGGATTTGTTTTTCCCAAAGCAGCCGCTGGCTTTGGCTGCTGGGTGGAAATCCAGGATTAACCCCCCTGGCTGCAGATGTTTCCCTGCACAGCTGGGCTGCAGGGCTCAGCTTTTTGTAGGAATTCTGGAGGGAAGTTGAAGCTTTGAACCCTTCCAGTGAGGGGTGTGAGGAGGTGGGAATTTTAGGTGGGGATTTTTGGCTGGTGTTTGTACCTGGCCGTGTGGGAGGTGAACTCTTCCCTGCCTCCCCTTCCCTGGTTGCTGACACTTCCAAGGGTCCCAAAGCCCCCAGGAGCAGCAGAGTGGCTCTGCCCACTCTCCTGAAGGCAGAAAAAGATGGGAAGGGGTGGAAAAAGTGGAGAAACATCCTGGGTGTAGCTGATGCACCAGCCCTGCCCTGGTGCCAGCGGGATAATGAATCCCTGGGAGCCCCTTGGAGCAGGAGAAGGGCTCCTGGGAGATGTGTGGGACAAAGAGAAGCTGCAAAAACATCTCTGAAGGCTCCTTGTTTACATGGTATGGATGTGAAATCCTAGAGAAAGGGGCTGATCCCACGAGGCAGAAAATGATGGAAAAATCCCCGGGATCTTGCAGTCCAGCCTGGCAGCGAGCAGGGGCTGGGTGGGATGGGGGCCAGGGGGTGACAGATGCTCAGTGCCCAAGCCTGGAGCTCAGACACCCCGAGGGGAGCCTGCCTGAGCTCTGTCCTCCCCACAGGACCCCGGGAATGGCCTCAGGGAGGAGCGAGGGGACGCGGGGACCCCCAACCACCAGCAGCGCCTGGAGCACATCGTGAGGAGAGCAGCACTGCAGGACAAGGTCAGGCCCCAATTCCTGCCCCAATTCCTGCCCCACTTCCCACCAGCTCTTCCTGCCAGGCTCTCCCTGGCTCCACTGGAATTTGGTTTTTTAGTCCAATTTCCTATAATAGCCCAGCCCAGCTGTGTCCTGTGAAGGCATCGCTGGGATTGGCATGAATTGGAGCTGGGTGACATTTTGGATGTGTCCCGGGAAGTTTTCAGGGCTGGGGGAGGGAGGAGCTGTGGGAATTTGGGCTGAAATAGCTGAGTTTGGGCTCTGTGGGAAAGCAGCTTGGAAAAGCTGTTCTGGAATGATCCCACCCCGGGCTCCAGGAGGAGCTGGGATCCTTCCCTGGCGCTGCCCCTCTCCAGGGCTCAGCTGCCAGCCCTTTCCTGGGTGTAAAACCCCACCTGAGCCTCACATTTTGCCTTTCCCCCAAATTTGGATGCTGTTTGCATTCCCAGGCCTCTGGCCCTTCCTGCAGGATTTGCATTTGGCTCCTGCTCTGCTCAGAAGAGCCTTGGGACGACCCTGCCCTGGTTTTGTCCCTCTCTGAGCAGCAGCTGGAAGTGCAGGTGCCCCAGAGCCACCCCCATTCCTGCTTTTTGCTTCCCACAGCCCGAACTGGATTTTTTTGGGAGGCCACTCCAGCGGAAAGAGGCAGCCAAGGCCCCGGGTAGGTGACACAGGCTGGGGTGGCACAGGGACAGAGTGTCCCTGAGCCCTGGGTGGGTGGCACAGGGACAGGGTGGACTCAGAACTGGGTGGGTGGCACAGGGACAGGGTGGCTCCAGCCCTGGGTGGGTGGCACAGGGACAGGGTGGCTCCAGCCCCAGGAGGGTGGCACAGGGACAGGGTGGCTCCAGCCCCAGGAGGGTGGCACAGGGACGGGGTGGCTGCAGCCCCGGGTGGGTGGCACAGGGACAGGGTGGCTCCAGCCCCAGGAGGATGGCACAGGATGGGGTGGCCCTGGCTGCCACCAGGGGCTCTCCCCATTCCCAAAGAGGGGCTCCTGTCCCTCAGCCCCGTCCCCAGGGGACAGCAGCAGGGACAAACCCAGCCCAGCCCAGCTGGCAGGGAGCTCCTGTGGGCACATCCATGGATTCTGGCCCCATCCAAAGGGAATTTGGGGTCAATTTTTGGTTGCAGCATCTGAGATTTGGGAGCACCAGCTCTGCCCTTGCAGACCCTCCCCCAATCCCCCCCTCCAGCCAGGGCACAGGGACAGGGTGGCTCCAGCCCTGGGTGGGTGGCACAGGGACAGGGTGGCTCCAGCCCTGGGAGGGTGGCACAGGGATGGGGTGGCCCTGGCTGCCACCAGGGGCTCTCCCCATTCCCAAAGAGGGGCTCCTGTCCCTCAGCCCCGTCCCCAGGGGACAGCAGCAGGGACAAACCCAGCCCAGCCCAGCTGGCAGGGAGCTCCTGTGGGCACATCCATGGATTCTGGCCCCATCCAAAGGGAATTTGGGGTCAATTTTTGGTTGCAGCATCTGAGATTTGGGAGCACCAGCTCTGCCCTTGCAGACCCTCCCCCAATCCCCCCCTCCAGCCAGGGCACAGCTGAGAGCCTGAAGGTTTCCTGCATGTTTTTAAAGTGGATTTTCCTGCTCAGCCCCTCAGGTTTCCAAGGAGGAATCCCTGGAGCTGCAGATGGGAAAGGCCGTGGGGAGGAGCGACGTCTGGTTCCGCTTCAACGAGGGCTTCTCCAACGCTGTCAGGAGGAACCTCTACATCAGGGACCTGCTCTAGGGCTGCAGGGATCCCCAACTCTCCAGCCCATGGCTGGGCTCTGTGGCCATGATCTCGGGCCGTGATCTTTTTATTACCCTCTTATTTTGTTAAAAAAAAAAAAAAAAGAAGAAATAAAATGTATCTTAAAAAAAATAAATCAGTGGTGAAGTATTGCTCTGTTTATTTCAGTCATAAACCTCGAGGTGTCAGATTCTAAAAGTATCTAAAGTATCTAAAATCACTAAAAACGGCGGGTTTTATAAAAAGCTTCTTTACAAGTTGCATAAATCTGCCTTTTTCGGGTGGCAGCAGTGAGAGATGAAGCTGCAGCGAAGCCCTGGAGCAGCTTTTGCTGCTCCATCCTGGGGGTTCCCCCGTGTCCCCCTGTTTCTAAAACCCCTTCTACAGCTACCAGAGGAGGAAGGAGGTGAGGGCAGGGTTCTGCTCGGGTTCTGGTGTTGGAACTGGAGCTCGGGCAGGCCGAGCCCCCTGCAGGGGGGAGCCAGCCTCAGAGGATGATGCATTTGCCTTTCTCCACCCAGGGGTTGTTCTTCATCAGCTCCGGGTTCAGGAAGGGATCCTCGGGAATCCCGTCCTCGATCCACTTCACGAACCTGCAGGGAGGGGAGGGAGGGTGGGCACAGCCCCGGGGGGGGTGGGGGCTCAGGGGAAATCCTGCTCGGGTGGGGGGACATGGGGGTGTCCCCAGCTCTGTGACAAAGCAGGCAGGGAACAGAGCCATCGGTGATTTAAAGTGTTTTGAGCTTTGGGAAGTTCTGGGAAGGGGGGATCTGCACCCATGGTGCCACCACATCCTGGCACCCCCAGAGTCTGGACAGCTGGAGGGGGCTTGGGGACACCGGGGGGGGTTCTGACCCTGGGGCTTGGAGACCCAGAAAGGGAAAATCTCATCCCTGGGGAGCTGAGGGGGGAAAAGGGGGCTGGGTTCTGCTCGTGGGGGCACAGGGAAGGGAAGGGAAGGGAAGGGAAGGGAACCCCCACTCACTCAGGTATGGTCTTGGAGGACATCTCCCTCTTGTAGGCCAGCTGGTACTTGAGGCTTTCCACCTCTTTTTTCCATTGTGGGAGATCCCACTCGTCCATGGCGCTCTCCGAGGGCTCCGTTGGGCTGCGAACGGGGATTTTGGTGCCTTGTCCTGCCCTGACCCCTCAACTGCACCCCAAAGGCTCCCCCAGGATGGGGACAACGTGTCCCAGGATGTGGGGAGGTTTCCAAGCCCACAGAGGAGCAGGCAAGGGCTCCGGGAGCCTTTTTTGGGTTTGTTTTGGTGGAGGCAAAGGCTGCCCGGTGCCCTTCTCATGCAAAACACAGGGACTGAGGCAGATTTGACTGAAATTTGGGCGGGGAGCAGCCAAGAGCAGCCCGGGGCTGTTTGGGAAGGGGCTGCTTGTCCTTGTCCTGCCTGGCCACGGCTCTGAAGGGGGCTGGAAACGGCTCAGGGGGCGGCCAGCACAGATTTGGGGAGCAGAGCAAACCCCTGTGCACCCCCCACCCCATTGCCCCCCAGCAGTGACCCTGGGGGAGGACGGGCGTGATGGGGAAACTGAGGCACGGCCGCTGAGGGGGCTCGAGCAGCGCCCACCGCGGGGTGGCCCCCGTGCCACCCCAAAACCTGGTGGCACAAGGAGACATTCCCCTGTCCCCAAGCCCAGCCACGACCCCCGGGGGTGCCCCGGCTCCGGGAGAACGGGCTGGAGGCGCCGGGAGGGTGAAACCCTGCCGAGGGCACGGCTCCATCCCAGCCTGGCATCCCGGGAGCTGCACCGGGAGCGGGATCAGCCCCTTCCCCGGCCCCCATCCCGCACATCCCCAGCGCCTCCCGCTCCCACCTGGTTTGGGAATGCCGGCAGCAGAGAAAAGGGGCCGCGGCTGCAGCCTGGCCTTGCCCAGCTCCTCCCGCAGCGCTCCCGGCTCCCGGCGGTGCCAAAGGCTCGGGATAATCTGGTCGTGCACGCCTGGTGCGGGGGGATCGCGGCAGCGTCCTCCCCCCGCCGCTCCCGGGGGATTCGGCAACGCTGGAGCGCCCGGGATGGAGGCAGCTCCCGGCACCCGGCCGGGTCTGGAACCGGGGGTATCCCGGCCGGGCTTTGGAATTGGGGTTATCCCGGCCGGGTCTGGAACCGGGGTTATCCCGGCTGCCCCCTCTGGAATTGGGGTTATCCCGGCTGCCCCCTTTGGAATTGGGGTTATCCCGGCCGGGCTCTGGAACCGCGGTTATCCCGGCCGGGCTCTGGAATTGGGGTTATCCCGGCCGGGTCTGGAACCGGGGTTATCCCGGCTGCTCCCCCTGGAATCGGGGTTATCCAGGCCGGGTCTGGAAGAGGGGTTATCCCGGCGGGCTCTGGAACCGGGGTTATCCCGGCTGGGCTCTGGAACCGGGGGTATCCCGGCCGGGCTTTGGAATCGGGGTTATCCCGGCCGGGCTCTGGAATTGGGGTTATCCCAGCTGGGTCTGGAATCGGGGTTATCCCGGCCGGGCTTTGGAACCGGGGTTATCCCGGCCGGGTCTGGAATTGGGGTTATCCCGGCCGGGCTTTGGAATCGGGGTTATCCCGGCTGCCTCATCCCTTCCCTCATCCCTGCTAGGATCCCTTTTCTCATCCCTTCCTGCATCCCTGCCCTGATGCCTGCCTTCATCCCTTCCTTCATCCCTTCCCTCATCTCTTGCTCATCTCTTTCCCCATCCCCTCCCTCATCCTCCCCTCATCCCTTTCCCGCTCTGCTCCCCTCTGGATTTTGTGGCTTTTCCCCTTCCCGGTGCTGGAGCAGTTGGAGAGGCCGGGAATGACTCAAAAAGTGGAAAATAAAAGGATAAGCAGCAGAAGGGAGCAGCTGAGACAGAACATCTGGTGGGTGGAAGGGCAGCGTCACCAATAATCAGAATTATTAATCACAATTATTGATGAGGGATTTGTGGGGAAGGACAAAAGGCCCGGGACAGCTGGAGCTGATTAAAGCCAAAATAATCCATGGAAAAGCAGAGGTGTGACCCCCACACCTTCGTTCAGGCATTGAAAGTGAACTTGGGGTAAAAGTTGTGGCTTAAAAAAATAAAACAAACAAGGTTTGCACAAAGCAAAGCCCAGCCCAGGGCTCCTCCTTCCCCGGGGGATAAATATTTATAGAATATTTATAGACATAAAAATCATATCAATATGGATTTAATATCGGGTTAATATTAATATATGGGTTTGATATTTTATTAATATTGAATAGGGATTTAAATTTGGATTGAATATTGGATCTTGTGTCTCTGCATCACACCTGGGCTGGGCTGGGCTTGTCCCTCCCCAAAAACCGGGGCTGGAGCCATCCCCTCTTCCTGAGGGAGAGAATTCCCTGGGGGACAGAGGAGATGAAGGCCAGATAGAAATATAAAATTATAAAAATATTAAAAACATTATCATTTATATTTAAGATTAAATATAATATATAAATAGAATAAATATTATAAATATGTGACAGAATAAATAATATTATAAAGGTATTATATAGTAGAATATATACATATATATTTAATTTTAAAAATATATATATATAGAAGAAAATCATGGAATGGTTTGGGTTGGTAAGAACCTTAAAGACCATCCAGGGCCACGATTTTATAAATAATAAAAAAATAAATTATGTCTAATATATATACACAAAGACAAGAGAGTGCACGTGTGTATATATAAAAATATATTTACACATACCGAATTAGATATAAAATCAAATCTATATTTTAATCCTTATCAAATTGCAGTGGAAAATAAATTCATATTACACATATATGTTTATGGAGATAGGATACAATTTCTAGATCAGATTTATTAATTTTTAGGCGTTATGGGTAACCAATAATGTATAGAATACATAATATGCACACATACACGTGCATGCTTACATTTATGTGTCTATATATAAAATATAAATATATATACACAAAATAGATATAAATATAAAAATAAATATATAAAACATAAAATAGGAAAATATAAAGATATAAATAATAGACACACATATATCAATTATATAAATATTTAGAATTAGCATGCTATTATATAAATAGTTATAGAAAATAAAATTGATGACAATAAATACTAATAGTAAAATAAATATAAAAATAAAAAGAAAGAATATAAAAATATAAAAATAAAAAAAAGATTAATATATTTTAAAAATAAAGAAAAAATTAAAATTATTTTTAAAAATAAAAATAAAAATTTAAAGGCTTCCTGAGAGAGGCATCTTACAGAACATATACTGGAAATAGATACATTAAATATTTAAAATCTATTTTAAATGATGGCTTTTCTGTGTCCCTCTGACGTGCCAGAGCAGGATGGTGCCCTGGGCTCCCCTCCAGCCCTGCAGGCAGAAACCGGGATGAGCTTTGGGACATCCCAAACCTGGAATGAGCTTTGGGACCATCCCAAACCCAGGCTGAGCTTTGGGACATTTCAAACCAGGGATGAGCTTTGGGACCATCCCAAACCCAGGACGGGTGAGGATTCCCGGGATTTCCCGGGCTGAGTGGGGCAGGGGATTCAGGAGCCACCGATCCCAGGGGATGCAGCTCCATCCAGGGATTTTGGGGTCCATCCCATGCTCCAGGCAGGAGCAGGCTGTGATTCCAGGGATTTTGGGGTCCATTCCACTCCCCAGACAGGAGCAGGCTGTGATTCCAGGGATTTGGGGTCCATCCCACTTCCCAGGCAGGAGCAGGCTGTGATTCCAGGGATTTGGGGTCCATCCCATTCCCCAGACAGGATCAGGCTGTGATTCCAGGGATTTGGGGTCCATCCCACTTCCCAGGCAGGAGCAGGCTGTGATTCCAGGGATTTGGGGTCCATCCCACTCCCCAGGGATGAGCTTTGGGACATTCCAAACCCAGGCTGAGCTTTGGGACATTCCAAACCTGGAATGAGCTTTGGGACATCCCAATCCTGGGATGAGCTTTGGGACATTCCAAACCCAGGCTGAGCTTTGGGACATTCCAAACCTGGAATGAGCTTTGGGACATCCCAATCCTGGGATGAGCTTTGGGACATTCCAAACCCAGGCTGAGCTTTGGGACATCTGAAACCTGGAATGAGCTTTGGGACATCCTAAACCCAGGCTGAGCTTTGGGACCATCCCAAACCCAGGACGAGTGAGAAATCCCGGGATTTCCCGGGCTGAGCGGGGCAGGGGATTCAGGAGCCACCGATCCCAGGGAATGCAGCTCCATCCAGGGATTTGGGGTCCATCCCACTCTCCAGGCAGGAGCAGGCTGTGATTCCAGGGATTTGGGGTCCATCCCACTCCCCAGACAGGAGCAGGCTGTGATTCCAGGGATTTTGGTCCATCCCACTCTCCAGGCAGGAGCAGGCTGTGATTCCAGGGATTTTGGGATTCATCCCATGCTCCAGGCAGGAGCAGGGTGTTTTTCCAGGGATTTTGGGGTCCATCTCATGCTCCAGGCAGAAGCAGGCTGTAATTCCATGGATTTGGGTTCTGTCCTATGCTCCAGGCAGGATCAGGCTGTGATTCCAGGGATTTGGGGTCCATCCCACTCTCCAGGCAGGAGCAGGCTGTGATTCCAGGGATTTGGGGTCCATCCCACTCCCCAGGCAGGAGCAGGCTGTGATTCCAGGGATTTGGGGTGCAGCCCCCCCGGTTTTTGCAGATTAAGGGGCTCCCCGGGCTCTGCAGTACTCACGAGCAGAGCCATCTGTTAACCTGGCATTTCCGCAGGCCCGGGATTAAAGCCGGGATTTCCGGCTGGGAGAGCAGCTGGAGAAGTCCCCGTGATCCCAGGGGAGCCGGGCAGGGACTCAGCCCTGCTCCCCAGAGCTGTCCCTGCCTGATTTAGGGACAGGGACAAGGGGCTGGGGCAGGGAGCGCAGCACCAGGAAGGGGCTCGGGGGGATCAGGGGGGATTTTTGGCTCTGCCAAGTCCCCGACAGGAGGGGACAGCAGGGAAGTGACCAGGGACAGGAGAGGGAACAGCCCCAGGCTGGGCCAGGGGAGGCTCAGGGTGGAAAATCCCTTCCATGATCCCCAAATCCAACCTCGGATGGATCCCTGCCTGCTCACTGCCCACACTGGCTCCTGCCCCCAGCGCTCCCGGGGATGTCCCTGCCCTGGGCAGCCCCTTCCAGCTCTTCCATCGAGGAATTTTCCCAAATATCCAACCCGGGGGAGCCTGAGTTCCCTCTCCTCCTGTCCCTGTTCATGATTTCCAGGTGAAATTCACCATTTCCCAGGTGAAATTCACCACTTTCCAGGTGAAATTCACCACTTTCCATGGGAAATTCATAACTTTCCAGGTGAAATTCACAATTTTCCAGGGGACATTCACCACTTTCCATGGGAAATTCACAATTTTCCAGGTGAAACTCACCACTTTCCATGGGAAATTCACAATTTTTCAGGGGACGTTCACCACTTTCCACGTGAAATTCACAATTTTCCAGGGGACATTCACCACTTCCCATGGGAAATTCACAATTTTGCATGTGAAATTCACCACTTTCCATGGGAAATTCATAACTTTCCAGGTGAAATTCACAATTTCCCAGGTGAAATTCACCACTTTCCATGGGAAATTCACAATTTCCCAGGTGAAATTCACCACCTTCCATGGGAAATTCACAACTTTCCAGGTGAAATTCACAATTTTCCACGTGAAATTCACAATTTTCCAGGTGAAACTCACCACTTTCCATGTGAAATTCACAATTTTCCAGGTGAAACTCACCACTTTCCATGGGAAATTCACCACTTCCCAGGTGAAATCCCATTTTTGGTGCCCTCACTTCCTTGCAGCTCTGCTCCTTCCTTGGCAGCCCTGCTGAGCTGTGAGTGCTCCAGCACTGGGATGGGGCAGCTCCAGGGCCCCACTCCTGCTCCAAAAGCCACTTTTCCATTTTTAATGAGCTCTGTCCCTCTCCATTTGACCTGGAGCAGAGCTCAGCCTTCCTCCAGGACCACTCCAGGCCCAAAGGGAAGTGCAGAGCTCCAGAAAAGGTTTTTTTCCTCATCCATAAAAGAATAAATCATTACCTAAAGGATCCACAGGGCTGCTCCAAGGCATTAAAACGGAGCAGGGATCAATAATGGAGAAGGGTTTGCTCACAGGAATGATTTCCCAGATTTCCTGTGCCAAGGGGGAGAAATCCAGGCTGGAAGGGGACACAAAGCACCTGCCCAAAATCTGCTCCCACTCCCTCTCTGGGGTTCTGGGATGGGGGGATCTGGAGGAGACTCAGCCTGGCCCAGGCAAAAATTCAAACCTCAAAAAAAACCCAACCAAAAACCCAACACTCGAAGGAAAATCTTAACTCCACAAAAAAAACCCCCTAAACCCTCAAAATCCCTCCTAAAAAAACCCTCAAAATTCCTAAAAAGCCCTAAACCCCCCCAAAACGCTCTCAACTTCAAAAAAACCCCACCCCCAACATCCTAAAAACCCCCAACCTCCCAAAATCTGTCAGCTTCCTAAAAATAACACAAATCCTTGCCAAAATCCTCACCTTCTTAAAAAATCAACCTCCCAAAAAAAACCAAAAACCCAATCCCTCAGCAAAATAAACCCAAAGAGGCAAAAAAAAAAATAAACTCAAAGCAAAAAAAAATCCAACCTTCAAAAAACAAAAAAAAATCCAATTAAAAAAAACCCCAATATAAATAACCCCAAAGAAACCAAAACCAGAAAAAACCAAACCAAACCCAAAACAAAATCCAACTCCAAAAATCCCACCCCAAACCAAGCAACCAGCCAAAAAAAAACCACCCAAAATGTCAACGTAACACGGACAGTTTAATGAACAAGGTGTCAGATTTCCACCCAGGTGCATTTTTTGGTGGGAACTTTGGGACAAGCAGAGCTGCAGAAGCCCCCAGCCCCCTGTGGAAATGTGCAAAGTGCCCTTGGGCACACACTGAGTTTTGTTTTCCTGCCTGCCCAGGCCACAGGGGGATCCCAAAGGGCAGAGCCCAGCCCAGGCTCCAGAGTTCTTTCACCTGCCCAGGTCAGTGAACTCCAAATTCCCCCCAGAATTAGGATTTGGGAAATGCACAGAGCCACCTGCACCAATCTAAATCTTATTTTCAGCAGAAAATAAAGGCCCAGCCTGAAAGCTGGATTATTTCCAAATAAAATCAGCTCTCCACTGCTCCACACTGGGGTTGTTGGAAGAAAATAAAGCTCAGTTTTATCTTCCTGCCTCTTGGTTTACAATGAAACCCAAAATCAGAGCTGTGCAAACAGCACCTGACCCCAAACTGCTGCAGAGGGAGTTCTCAGCTCCCTGTTTTCCAGGTTTAAGCTCTCAGCAGTTGACTCTTGCAAGGTTTGTGTCCCAACAGGAGGAAAAATTCTTTGCTGCTTGCTGCTCCATGCGTGTTTCTGGAAACAATTCCAACCTGCTGCCTCTTCCAACAACTCCTGAATATGTGGAACTGCAAGAAATGCCCAAAATGTGGCTCTGCTCCCACCCCAGAGCCAGGGAAGTCAGTTTTTAGCTAACTCTTCCTGGAGGTGACAACCAAAGCAAACCCAAGGAACTCTCCAGGAAGAGATTGGTTAAATGAAAAACCAACTGGAAAATATTCCTGAGGATTTGATCCCAATCAGAGCTTCTGGAAAGCACTGACAAACTTGGAAACTTCCTGGTGAACTGTGGTGCCAAAGGGGAGCTGCCTCAACCCCTGGGAAGAGAGAAAAAAACAGTTAATTCCCTTCAGGAATGTTTTTTTAAATACAAAAACCATTTCAATATTTAATTGGTAAGGGGTATCATTGATCTGCTCTGCTGCTAAATCCCACAAATCCTGGGATACTCACTGACTCGTGGAAAAAGGTGCAGAGCTGCTTGGCCCAGGAACATCTGCAACAGAGAGAAATTCCCACTCAGTCCCTCCCAGCTGGCCACAGCTGCAGCCACTCCTGCCTTTGCAGGACTCAAAAACCCACAGAAATCCAACAGTTTTCCAGATTTACAGGAGAATGATTGGGGGGAACCTCAGGATCTGCAGGTGGCTCTGGGGCAGTTCCCAGTGGGACAATCCAGGATTTATTTCAGGTGGCCCTGGGGCAGTTCCCAGTGGGACAATCCCACGATTTATTTCAGGTGGCTCTGGGGTATTTTCTAGGGGGACAATGCCAGGATTTCAGGTGGCTCTAGGGCAGTTCCTAATGGAACAATCCCAGGATTTCAGGTGGCTCTAGGGCAGTTCCTAATGGGACAATCCCAGGATTTCAGGGGGCCCTGGGGCAGTCCCAGTGAGACAATCCCAGGATTTCAGGTGGCCCTGGGGCAGTCCCAGTGGGACAATCCCAGGATTTATTTCAGGGGGCCCTGGGGCAGTCCCCACTCACTCACAGATGCAGGTTCTCTATGACCACGTTGAGGCTGAAGAGCCCCACAGATTGCATCCTCTTGTGTCTGCAGGTCAGGAAGAGGCACAGGAACTCCCCCACGTACTGGGGGCCAAGGTTCTGCCACCTGAACAACAAAAGCACAAGGGCTGAGGCACTGGAAGTTCACTCAGGGAGCAGGAGCCAATTCCCACATCCACTGGAATCCCATCCAAAGCCAAGCCAGGCACCCCCGGGGATAAGGCTGCCCCCTCTCTCCCAGCAAATCCCTGCTCCCCAGAACCATGCTGAGGGAATTTCACCCCAGCTGTGCACCCCTCATCATCCTGTGCTGCGTTCCCAAGGCCCCCAGGGCAGGGCTGCACTCACACTCTCAGCACGGTGCCTTCCTCCCGACTCAGGTCCCTCAAAAGCAGGTTGGCAGTGCCACACAGGGTGTGCTCCTCACAGGAAAGCAGGTCCAGCAACAGCCTCAGAGCCCAGAAGTTTTTCTAACACGAGACAAAAGATGATTTAACCTCAGTGCTAATCGTTCCTTAGAATAAATAAATAAAAGAAAAAAAGAATAAAGGTGAAACGGAGTCAAATTAAACGCGGCTAAAACTTTCAGGATGGTGTTTTCAACATCACAGAGATTTTAAACATGATTTGTTTTCATCTCTGAGAACAGGAATCAGTTTCTAGGACTCACCCCAAAGGCCAGGACTATCTCTAAGAAGGAAGTCAAGTGGGGAAGGTCACAACAAAGCATCTGCTGCACTGCCTGCACTGCCAGGATGAGAGAAGCCTCGTGGTGCAGCTACACAAGAGACAGAAACAAGGAAAGAAATGGATTTAACAGCTGCTTTCCCTTTATTTATCCACTCAGACCAGCACTGAGTTATGCCAGTTCAGCCAGAGAGCTTGGAGGGCACACAACAAATCCACAAGAACCTTATCAAGAGTTATAAACAGGGATTTTATTGCTGGTGCTCTCAAAGTGTTCACGTAAAAGTGAAATCTCACACAGGAGCAGAAATAGGGAATCAAAGGGGAAAAAAAATCCAGCTCAGGAGTCACACCTTTGGAGAATAAACTGAAATTTCCTCCAAAAAAAGTCAAAAAAGAGTAAGGCAGCCCCTTAGATGACTGCATTGAATATGAATGTTTTTCCTGCTACCTTCAAACAAGTTTCACATACCTGAAACCCTTAATTTAAGAAATTTAAAACTTCTGGGCAATTCTGAGTTTTGAGAAGCCCCAGTGTCCTGTCTGAGCCAAACCCTGGGAGAAGTTAGGACACAATCAATTATTCCCAGCACTCCTCCTTTATAAATCCATCAATTTGGACAGGGATAAAGATTTCTCCTGGCCTGAAGATGTGCAGGGCAGAAGAGACCCTCAGTTCTCTACCTCCATATCTGCTCCAGAATTCACTGTGCTAATCTTAAGTTAATCACCCCCCAAAAAATCTTCCAGGCCTCTCTTGAAAGCTTTTCTTAATAACCCAACATTTTTCACTGCTGGGGAGAAATTCCTTTGTTGTCATCACTCACCTGACCAGAGAAAATAGCAGATGGCAAAGAGACATTAACTCCAGACTTGAGATCCTCCAGGAAGTTGCCACTGGCTGCCAGCACATTCTGCAAGGGGACAGTGAGGGACAAGGATGGCAGAACGTCCCCAGACAAATCCCAAACCAGAAATGGGGGTTTAATGTGCTTTTCAGTGACTTCTTCAGCATTTCTGCAGAGGATGGTGCCTATTCCACACCACACTCAAGGGGAATTGAGGCTCTGCAGCACCAACCAAACCCTATCAAAAACTCTTCATTTCTGTAGGGCTGAGATGGAAAAATGACCACAGTCCAAGCCCTGCCATGGCAGGGACACCTCCCACTGTCCCAGGGTGCTCCAAGCCCTGTCCAGCCTAGCCTTGGGCACTGCCAGGGATCCAGGGGCAGCCCCAGCTGCTCTGGGCACCTGTGCCAGGGCCTGCCCACCCTCCCAGCCAGGAATTCCTTCCCCATCTCCCACCTGGCTCTGCCCTCTGGCAGTGGGAAGCCATTCCCCCTGTCCAGGCCCTTTCTGGTCTGATCCATCTCACCACGAGCAGAGCCAGAACCAGTGCCAGGCCCTGAGCTGGGAGCAGAATGAACCCATTTCCTGCTGCCTTCAACATTCCTGAACCCCCACACCCTGCAGAGCCACCCTGGCAAAGGAGCACCAGACGAGGCACTGGAAGTTCACTCTGGCATCTGGGAGAAGGAGCAATTCCCACATCCAAAGGAATCTTGTCCAAAGCCAAGCCAGGAGATTCTCCCAGCTCCCAGCACTGTTTGGTACCTCTTGGAAGCCAAGGGGGGGCTCTACCAGGGGTAAGGGAAGCAGGTGCCCCCTCTTTTCCAAAATATTGCTGCTCCCCAAAATCGTGATGAAGGAACTCCAACATTTGGCCTAAAAAAACAACAGCACATTTGTGTTACAAAGTGAAATCTGGGCAGAGGGGTGAATTATTCAGAGGAAAAAAGGGGTCAGAGTAAATCCTGCCCTCTCAAGGAGTGGGAACAGGAGAAAAGAGGGAATTTTGGCCTCACTCACATTCCTGTAGAGTGCCTTGCTGCTGTAGAGCAGTTTGAGTGCCTGCTTAATTAGCACAGTGTTCCTCAGGGGAGAGCCTGCAGGGATGGAAATGAAAAGAATCAAACCCAGATCCTACACACCCCAGATGACTCCAGAGCAGGAACACCACCAGGATGTTCACTTGGTTCCAGACCTGCTGCTGCAGAGCCAGCAAGTGTTTCCAGCTGTTCTGCACAGGTTTGTGGTGGAACAGAAAAACATCAGCTACAAACCAGAGCTCTGGAAAGCTGCAAAGTCTGGACACCATCCAGGCTGAGCCAGGTGATCCCAGAGGAACTGTCTGCTGTGGACATCACACCCCACTGAGGGATCTCACACTTCCAAGAATTCTGCCAGTAGGGAACAACTCCCAAATAAATCTTTTGTGGCAGAAGACACCCTGAGAAGTGACAAAGCCCAGGACAGATGATGGCAATTATCAGAGGCTGAGCTCGTGATTCTGATGATTAAACATTTACCATCAGGAGGTTTTCTCCTCAAGGTCATGGCTGAGACATACAGCCAAGTCCCCCACTGACAGTGGGGATGCTGGGAGGGAATGAAGGGCTTTGGATTTTCTTTGAATAGCTCCTCTTGCTTTGCTTTCAGCAGAAAATGAGCTGACAAAATGAGTGTTGTAAGTGAAGTGAATAAATCCATGCTCCAGTACAGTCATCCTTCCTGCCTGGTGTTTTCATGGTTTGGGGTGGAAATAACCTCAAAGCCCATCCAGTTCCAACCCAACACCTCCCTCTATCCCAGGGTGCTCCAAGCCCTGTCCAACCTGCCTGGGACACTTCCAGGGATGCAGGGGCCTCCCCACCCTCACCCAATTCCCAGCTGGGCTCAGGATGTCACTCCTCTGACTGCCAGTGAAGAGCTGGAATGAAGTTCCCAGTGAAGGAAGGAAGAAGTGACACTTGCCAGCTGTAACCCAGGGCCCTGTGTCCAGCATGTCATTCCCAGAGGGAACACAGCCTGTCCTGAAGATCTTGAGGTAGACCTTGAACTGGCAGGGAGTGATCCTGCAGGCAGAGCAGCAGGCCAGGCTGTTCACAGGGAACAGCAGGGAGTGGGCAGCATCCAGGAAATTCCCAGTTTTGCACAGGTAGAAAGGGATCAGATCCCGAAGGTCTCGGAGCCTGGCAAGAGGAAATGAAGGTTTGGCTTTCATCTGGATGAGGTTTTTGTAGGATTTGGGAGAGATCTACTTGTGCTTGACCATTACAGAGGGGAGGGAAGAGAGGGGAAAATGAACAAGGGAGGAAAAAGAAGGGGAAAAGGAAAGGGAGGAAAAAGAAGGGAATAGGGGAAAAGAGGGGGGAAAGAGAGGGGGAAAAGTAAGGGAGGAAAAATGAAGGGGAAAAGGAAATGGAGGAAAGAGAGGGGAATAGGGGGAAAGAGAGGGAAAAGGAGAAGCCATTTACCTTTGGTTTTCATTGCATTTCACAGCTCTCAGGTAGCGAACAACTTCCCTGTACCTGGGGAGAGAAGAGCAAGGTGAGAAGGAAGGGGCAGGAAGTGCAGAACTGTGCACAGGGCAAACATTTCCTACAGTGAGAGAAGCAAACCAGGAGAGCTTCCCACGCAGGAGACATTGCACAGCAGGACAGAAATACTGGAAAGAAGTTCCTAGAGGTTATTCCCAGATTATCTCAGCTCTGGCAAAATAAAAGCAGAGGTTGCCTTGCAGCTGGATTCTTTAAGTGGACTGGATTCTTTGGAATATTGGATTTTCTGGAGGACAGCCCTCCGAAGACCCAGAACAGACTCTTCTGGCTGCCTTCCACTCGCCAGGCTTTGACAAAGAGGAATTTCTTGGAAAATCAACATGTAAAACCTGCAGAGTTTATGGAGACACTCCAGCAATCTTTTTTTGGTCCTGAGGCATTCAAAGGGCTTTGAGAAACTTTAAAAAGCTTCTGGCCTTGTTGAGAAGAAAAAACAAAACAAAACAAAAAAAAAAACCTTACCAAAGGAAGTTTGTTTTGTGTTTCCCCATTATACCAAATACAGGAGTTTGAAGCAGTCAAAATGTAAGAACTGAGTTCACAAAGTGAAAAAGCCAAACCAATCTCACTTCTTTTTCTCCAGCAGTTTCTCCACTCGAGCCTCCACGACAGGGAGTGCTTCCCACAGGTACGTTTTCCTTCCCTTCTGTCTCCTCTGCCCAGTGATGTTCTGGCCTTTTAAAACTGTGGTCAGTAACACGTGGTCCCAGGGCAAAACATTCAAGCTGGAAGGAGAAAAATAAAATAATGTTTAACTGTGTTTTGGTGTACATCATTAATTAGCTCCTTCAAGGATTGAGAAGTTTGATTAATGAAACGTTTTGGGGTTTAGAGCTCAGTTCTGGGGGAAAGGAAATAAATTTAGGGAGAACAGCTCAGTCATGGCATCAAACAGGGAAAGCAGCAAATGCTGAAATATTCTCCTAAAATGGTCCCACTTTTATTATCAGGGAAAGAACATTCCACAGGCAATGGATCCAAAGGGAATACTCAGAGGCCCAAGAAGTCACCTGTTTGAGAAGGCATAGCAGTGGCAGGGAAGGGAGATGGACTGGAAAAACTCAACAAACTTGTCATACAGAAGTTTTGGGAAGTCACACAGCACCAGCATCCTCTGAAGTCGGGTTACAATCCTGTGATTTGAAAAGAAAAATAATTGAAAAAGGGTATTTTAAAATGAGGTGAGTTACTAACAAGCTGTGTTTTTTAAACATATGGGAAACTGCACAAGTTTGTTTTTGTTTTTTTGTTTTTTTTTTTTTTTTTTTTTTTTTTTTTTTTTTTTTTTTTGTTTGGATCTGTATGTGAATTTCTGCTTTAAGTTTTGTAGTGAATAATAAAATTGTTACTGTGCTGTTATTTTTAAAACCAAGGTTCTGTGAGGTTTAAGCTTTAAAACAAAGATCTCCAAGGAATGTGTACAGCAAACATTTCAAACTGTGCTGGGCCTAAGCTCCTGCACCTTCCCTGCTATTTCTGGAGCCATTTCTGTATTAATTGATAAGTGGAGATAAAAAAGAAGAGTTTACTCTTCAAAATTTTGGCAGGGAGCTAAATACAAACTTTTCCCTTTTTTGTTCCAAGTCAGAAATTAAAAAAATCAAGAAGAGCAATTTAAAATGAGAGCTGCTGAAGGATTTGGGTTGTACCTGTCATTAGTTCCAGAGATGGTGAGAATATAGAACTGGGTTGGAAAGAATTGAATTCTTCACTCATCAACCTTCTGTGGCAGGTGAATTTGGGGGGAAAGGTGAAGGACAGAGCTAAAATGGGAAGTGAATTAAGCCAAGGGAGCTGGGTGTCCTCATTCTCCAGCCTCTGGGGCAGCTTCTCTTGCTCCATCCCAGGGGAATCCTGCCAGGCTGTGCTGTGACCTCTCCCAACCACTATTTACACCTTGGTGGAACAACCACAACCTGCCCTGGACTCCCACTGAACAGGGGATTTGTCACCTGAAACACATTTTAAAGGCCAGCAGAAAGTCTGCAGCCAGCAAGGAAACCAATCTCACCTTTGGAACAGAAATGGGACAGCAATCCTTAGGGAAGCAGTGTGGCCAAGGTTCTGACAGCTCCTGAGCCTAGAAAAAACCAACACTAATTAATGCCTGGCTCCCCTTCCTGCCTTTCCCCCTTCTTTGCACTCAACCGTTGAGGAAAACACTTTTTAAGGAAAAATCTTGGAAGCTGGCATGCTGAAAAACATTCCTGCAAAGACTGAAACACGTGCTGAAGTGCAAAAGACAGTGAAAAATTCCCAGCTAACAAAGCAGCCTGCTCCTTGCAAACCTGGATCATTCCTCAGCAGGAACTGCAAGGGAGCTGCTGTTTCAAACCAATCCAGAAATCATTTCCTTCTCTTTTACCAAAAGCCCTGAATTCAAACCCCAAAATGTTCTGCTTCCACAAAGCTCCTTGTGCTGTTGAGGTTTTGCTGAGTTGCTGAGTGTAACTTCGAAGTTCTAAGTTCGGTTAAATGCTGTTAAAGTGTTATTCCCCTTAAATCCTTAAGGTTCGCTGTTGAGAAGTGTTTTGCTGAGTTGCTGAGTTTAACTTCGAAGTTCTAAGTTAGGTTAAATGCTGTTAAAGTGTTATTCCCCTTAAATCCTTAAGGTTAAGTTTTAAACTAAGCTTAAGTTAGGTGTAAGTGCTGTTTCTTTGTTGAATTGTTAAGCTTAAGGTATAATGTAAAGCACTATTAAGTGGGAGTGCTGTTAAGCTTTTAAGGCGAGATCCTTTTCATTTTGCTGTTCCTTTTGTCCCACACTGCCCTCGGTGGTTCTCGGTTCGTTTCCTTTTCTGAATGCCTGGATTATGTTGGCTTTTGTTGTTGCTTGTTTTCCTTTCTTGTGCCTAAACTCTCCTGTAAGCACTGGAGCAAATCTTGCCAACCAACTTTGTTGTTTAATATTAAATCTGGCTTTCCCTCGGCAGGGATTTTTAAGTCATCTCAAACTCTCATTCCTGCTTAACTTTTCCCTCTCACATCCAACCTCTTCTTTTCCCCCAAATCCCTCCTGCCCCAAATCCCACTGGTCCTTCAGCGTGTTCATGTTACTCTTGCTGTGCTGCAGCCCGGGCTGGGATTGTTACTGTAAGTTCTCTCCCCTCTATTTTTGCTGTCTCAGGTACCACAGTTTTGATTACAACTCATCAAATAAATCAAAGCTGCCCTGACAAACCCAAATCTGTTGTCACTTACTTGTACACCACCTCCATGTTCCGTGAGCTGCAGAGATTGCACTGCCCCGGGGGCAATTTTGGCTGGCAGCAGCATTCCTGTCGTGGGGAACAGATCCTTTCTCCTGTCAGGTATTTGTTATAGGCTACAGAAAGATCCCTGATGAATTTTTCTAGGAGATCTCCTAAGACAAAAAAAAAATAAAAATTGCACAATGAGTTTTGCATGTTTTTTTTCAAAATCAAAAACGAAAGCTCCCCATGTGAAATTATTTAGGAAATTGTTTGCATCCAGTTTTATTGGTCAGGAAAGCTTTGTTGCTGAAAGAAGGGAAATTTAGGTGGGATACTGGGAAGGAGTTATTCCCTGGAAAGGTGGGGAGGCCCTGGCACAGGGTGCCCAGAGAAGCTGTGGCTGCCCTGAAGTGTCCAAGGCCAGGCTGGATGGGGTTTGGAGCACCCTGGGATAGTGGGAGATGTCCCTGCCCAAGGAAAGGGGCTGGAATGAGACCATCTTCCAGCTCCATTCCACCCCAAACCATTCTATGATCCTCCCAGATGAAGGAAAGCAGGAAACTGTACCTGCAAACCCATCCCTGGTCCAAGCATGGAAAAAGAAAGCAGGCACAGCAATTTATTCCTTAAAAACTCCCCAAGGATTGGAGTGGAGCAGCCAAGCTGCTCCCCGGGGCAGGGCCTGAGCAGCCCCAGATTTTGGGGACAGAGCAGCCAGGGCAGGGCATGAGCAGCCCCAGATTTTGGGAACAGAGCACTCAGGGCAGAGCCTGAGCAGGTCCCTGGGGACAGAGCACTCAGGACAGGACCTGAGCAGGTCCCTGAGGGGACAGAGCATTCAGGGCAGAGCCTGAGCAGGTCCCTGAGGGGACAGAGGACAGGAGCTGAGCAGCCCCAGGACAGAGCACCCACCCCCGTGCCGCAGCTCTGTGTCCAGCTCCAGCAGCTCCAGGTTGAAGGTGGCCAGGACTCCAGCCAGGGCAAAGTTCCTCTGTGCCTTCCAGAAGTTGCTCTTGTTGTGGGCATTGCAGTGGCACAGGGAAGGGACTGTCCAGAGCTGGCACTGTGTCAGAAAATACAAAACAGGGAGAGGTTGCTGGATTTTTGTGTTCTCCCCTCAGCACTGAGTGAGGGGCTCCAATTCCTTTTATCCTCCTTGCACCTGAGTAAATATTTTGACAGGCAACAATTTGGTATCATGGCAATCATTTCAAAGAAGTCCCTTATTGATTACCTGTCATTGCTGAGCCCCTCACAGAGAGCCTCAGGGCTGGCACCCTCCCCAATGGAAACTGGAAACAGAGCCCTGTCTTTGCATGGTCACCCCAACTTTGCCCACAGCTCCAAGTCTTCTGAAATTCACAAAAGGTCCAAGCAAATAAAGCATCCCCACACAATTCCCTCCACTCCTAACTCCAGTGGGGACAGTCTAGAAAGCTGGCATTTCTCTAATTCATTAAAAAATGAGTAATCTGGTTTTACAAAATGCACTGTGTGCCCAAAGCAAACAGGACATATAAATAAATGTATGTTTACTCCAACAAATAAACCCCAACAGAACCACACTTTGAGTAGTTATGAGGAGCTGTTAATCAAATTTCCTGTATTATTCTTTTAAAGCCCTTAACTCTTTCCTGGGAGGGTAGAATCACTGACTCCTAATCTATCCTATTTCATTGCCAGCTTTGGTACAGGTACCTTGTTATTGTGCACTGCTTTATGTAACCTGCTTTGCTCTATCCTGTGCAATAAATAATTGTTAAAAGCCCTTTCTCTGCTCCCTCCTGTCCATTCAACAAATAACTCATCTGATATTAGACCTGACCTTAAGAACTCGTGAGCCTGAGTGATTTAGGCACAGTCACCTGAGCAGAGCTGCTGCCAAAAATCTGAGCCTAAGGCAGGGCTTGGCTAAAGCTCCCATCTGATGCAGCTTTGTCTCCTGCAGGCTGTGCCCTGCCCTTACCTCAGCAGCCAGTTTGTCACAGATGTAGCAGTAGCACTGGTCACAAATATCTGCATTTTCCCCAAGGGGGAAGCAAGTATCACTCTCTCTCCTCCTGCAAGGTTGAAAACCAGAAGGTTAATTAGCAAAAATCACACCCTTACCCAGCTCTACTGCTGCCTGCAGCTGTGACAAAGGTAAACGTGGAGGAGGGGAGCCCAAAGGGGATTGCCCAGCCCTGGACATACTCAAAGGGGTGCGTGGTGCAGTCGTGTCGGGCGTGAGGCATCACGTTGGCTTGTTTGCAGTAGGTGACCACTAAATCCCCCTCCTCATCCACCAGTTCTTCTGATTTCTTCTCTTGCAGGGAAGGCTTCTCTGCAGCAAAGAGAGCACGAGGTGTAAACCAGCGTTAGAAATTAGTGAGGTTTACTTTTTGAACATTTTTTTTGGGGGGATCTGACAGAATGGCACACAAAACTTCCATGAACTACCAAACCAAATCAAAAAGGAGCCAGCTGACACTGAAAAAGCCCAGCCTGAGCTCAGTTTGAAGTATTTGAAAACCACACAGCAGCATCCTTTGAAGCAGTGCCATCAAAGATATCCCAACAAACTGGGGATTTCCTCCTGCTTTTATTCACTTGTGCAGCACAAGGACAGATTTCAAGCATAACACAGAATTAATTCATTTATTCCCCAAATCTTTCAGGGAACTCCAGCAGCAGCAAGGGAACAGCTCTTACCCTGTGGCTCTACAAACAGGACAGAACTCCCTTGGGTGCTCTCCTCTTCATCATCATCATCACTGATCAGGATTACATTCTCCTCCTCCTCCACCTTTCCTGATGGCCACATGGCCACCAACTTCCAAACTGGAACCACCTGGCAGCCACCAGGGTAACACTGCCTGTCCATTTGTACTTTTAAGGTGTTTCCTTCAACAAGGGAAGAAAAAGACTCCTCTGAGGCCCAAATTCTTCTTCTCTTCTGGGTAAATTACACTAGAGACAGAGATGTTTCATCCTCAGTGCACTCAGAACCTCAAAACCCACTGGAGTTTCCATGCAGAGCTCAGAGATCCCTGAAAATAAGGAGAGGAAAAAAGAAGAAAAAACTTGAAAACAGGAGATGAGCTGTTCTTCTGGTGGGACTGGCTGTGGAATGAGGAGAAGGGGAATGAGTTCCCACTGACAGGGAAGGGTTAGAGGGGATTTTGGGACAAATCCTGGGAGTGTGGGGAGGCCCTGGCAAAGGTTCCCAGAGAAGCTGTGGCTGCCCCTGGATCCCTGGGAGTGCCCAAAGCCAGGCTGGATGTTCCTTGGAGCATCCTGATTGAGTGGAAGGTGTCCCTGCCCACGGCAAGTGGTGGGACTGGACTGGTGGAAACGATGAACATTAAATTTCGGGCCAATGGATGGGAATTGCTTTGGGTTTTGTGTGTATAAATCTGCAACATGTCCAGCAAAAAGCCATCTGTATATGGAATATTTTCCGTGGCACATCCTGACCAGAATAAAGTAAAGCCTGACTCACTGTCACTACGTAGTGCTGGAGGGGTTTTTTATCCTCCCCGAATTTTGCTGTTAAAGATCCTCCCATCCCAAATTGTTCCAGAATTCCACGACAACAACTCCTATTAACAATTCAGCTGTCCTTTAACCCAGCCACACCGGGAAAAACTGGAACAATGCTACTGCCTCTCCCCTTCCCCAAACTCCAGTATTCCCCACCTCAATTCCTTCCCAAACTCAAACATCTGCCACCTCAACTCCTTCCCAAACTCCAACATCTCCCATCTCACTCCATTCCCAAACTCCAACATCCCCATTCCCAAACTCTGATATCCCCCATTTCACTCCCTTCCCAAACTCCAACATCTCCCATCTCACTCCATTCCCAAACTCCAACATCCCCACTCCCAAACTCTGATATCCCCCATCTCACCCCATTCCCAAACCCCAACATCCCCATTCCCAAACTCTGATATCCCCCATTTCACTCCCTTCCCAAACTCCAACATCTCCCCCTCCCACCTTGGGGGCTGCCACACGTTTCCCATTCCCAAACCCCAACATCCCCATTCCCAAACCCCAACATCCCCCTCCTCATCCCTCCCCACAAGTGACGGTGTTACGCCACCAGGGAGGGAAAAATCTCAGCACTGATTCCGAGGCAATTTCTCACTAACAAGAATCACTTAAGGAAAATCTAGCAAGGGTTTTAACTGAAGCAGAACTTGCCCACGGCAGGGGGGTGAATCTGGATGGTCTTTAAAGTAATTTCCTTTAATTTCCACTCCTCTCCCCTCCCTCCGACACCCCCAACGCCTCACACGCCCCTCACGCCCCTCGCCCCCCCAGCCCCAACCGCCCCCTCCCAACAACCACACCGCACCCCGCCGACCAACCTCCCCCTAAGCAGCTCGGGTGCCCGCTCAGCCCTTCCAGCCGTGCCGTTCTGCCCGGGATTCCCGGCGTTTTCCCGGGATTCCCGGCGCTTGCTTTCCCGCTCCCGCCGCCCGCCACTCTTTCAAGGCCCGAGCGCTTCCGGGCCGGGCCCCGCGGCCGCTTCCGCCCTCACCGCGGCCCTGAGGGCTGAGGGGCGCTGCCATGTTTGCTGAGGGCACGGGTTGGGGGCTGCCACACGTTAAATAAATAACTCTTTCAGGAAAAACGTTAAGTAAACGCTTTATTCTCCGCGAAATCGGCGTCAGCGCAGCGCCCTCTCCGTCTGTCTCCGTGTCATGGTGGCCCCTGCACACCCCACAAGCTGTGCGGGAAATGCTGCTGGGATGAGCCAGTGTCCAGCGAGAGACACAGCATCCTGCAAAAATCAACTTCTTTCGGATAACGGAGAGAGGCCACTGCGCCACACCTCTGTGGGGACACTCGGGAGTTTTTGGAAGGCACGGCTTCCTTTTATCCGCATTTCCCGACCACGTTTCCCTGCTCTTTTCCCCCTTGGCCGAGGCAGTAAGGAGGTACAGTCCCAAATACTACATATTCCCCATTTCATATGTATCCCCCAGCACAGTTGTACGCCCATTAATATTGGATTTAAACTGGCTCTGGATGAAGTTCATACTCACAAATCTATCAAGCCTGCACGTTTTGTCCTGACCTTCAAACGGTTTGAGGTTCTTAAATCCTCACAAGCATTCCTCCGGAACATTAGTGGTTCTTTCAAATTGTGTCGTTACTAAAAACATTAACACCCATTTCTCCTGCAATTACTTCGACCCCCACACCCTTTCCACCAGTGACTAATTTTTTTTTTTTTCAATTTAGTTGCCACATTTAGACCGATGGCTCATCTAATTACTGAGAACCCCCACACCCATTCTGCCAGGACCTGATTGGTTCTTACAGATAATTAGTTACATTTTTCATTAGTGAAGACCACAACACCACACTCTGCACAGGGGTTGGCCCCACTTCGAGTATGTTGAGCAGTTTTGGTCACCAAAAGATGAGACACTGAGCTATGGGAGAGCATCCAAAGGTGGCACTTTGAGGTGGAACCATAGGAGAGGTAGCTGAGGGAATTTGGTCTGTTCAGGGGATTGGGATGAGACCGTCTTGAAGGTGCCTCCAAGCCCAAACCATTCCAGAATTCCATGATAATCACAGTAACTCATAATTGTGATCATTCCATGATAATCACAATGATTCATAATTGTGGTTCTCATTCCATGATAATCACAATAATTCACGAGACAGTCTTGAAGGTGCCTCCAAACCCAAACCATTCCAGATTTCCATGATAATCACATTAATTCATAACTGTGATCATTCCATGATAACCACAATAATGAGATGTTCTTGAAGGTGCCTCCAAGCCCAAACCATTCCAGAATTCCATGATAATCACAGTAATTCATAATTGTGATCATTCCATGATAACCACAATAATTCACGAGACAGTCTTGAAGGTGCCTCCCGACCCAACCCATTCCAGATTTCCATGATAATCGCAATAATTCAGATAATCACAATAATTCATTCCCTTACTCAGAAGCACCCAGCACAGGAGAGAGGAGACCCATTGCAGGATCCTCGCCAGGGAAATGCGACTTTTGGGGATGGTTCTGTGCAGGACTGGATGATCCCTGTGGGGTCCCTTCCAGCTCGGGATATTCCCTGATTCTGTGATTTTGAGCTGTTCCCCTGGCAGCCCTGCTGGACCTGCTCGCTCCGAGCCACAGCTGCTGGAGGAGGAGGAGGAGGAGAGGTGTTGCTGCTTTTCCTCACCGCAATCGCCACCTTCTGTCGCGACATCAGCGAGGAAACGCATCCAGCAGCTGAGCCTTCCCCGAGCAACACTAGATGGTACCAGAGCTCCACACAGGCTCAGCCAGGACTCAACCTCAAAAAAATGGGAATTCTGAACCAGGGAGAGCTGAAGCTGCGGTGTCTTAATGTGCTGCTGGCACAGGGAGTAGAGTTTTTTTGCAGGGAAAAAGCCGACGGGACCTGTGAATAAAATAAAGATATTTTTTGGTGTTCAGGGCTACAAGTGCAATGTGGTTGTGGTTAAAAATGTTCAGCAGAGTGATGGTGTTACAGCACCTGGGAGGGAAAGTTTGAGGACCGATTCTGAGGGAGTTTTTCACTAATAAGAATCAGTTAAAGAAAATCTAGGAAGGATTTTAACTTCAGCAGAACCTGCCCAGGGCAGGGGGTTGAAACTGGATGGTCTTTAATGTCCATTCCAACCCAAACCATTCTGGAATTCTATTCCATGGTTACATCTTAAAAATGAAGTGCCCTGATACCTTTAATTCCTGATGTCCTTAATATTAGGAACTACTTAAACAGCACTCTGAATATGATCACCTTTTCCTTCAAGCAACTGCACACCCTGCCTGAAATATTCATGTGTTAAAAAAAAAAAAAATCCCTCTTCCTGCAAATGAATATTTATTCCATGAATAATCTTTAATGTCTTCGTGGCTTTCAACACATTTGGGCAAAATGTTTCAAGTTTCTCTGCTTACAATGACAAAATCTAAACCCGACACCTAAAGAAGTGGCCTCATTTCAGCTGTGTGGGGCATTTTCTAGAGACATAATTTCCTCCCTCTTGCTGCCTCCTTAGCACGACACGGTTTTAGCAACCTTGAGTAACTCAACACAGCAGTTTGAGGGATGAAATGAAATATGGAGATAGCAGGGAGAAATAACAACACCAGAAGTGGCCCTTGGCCAGAAGACTTTTCTCTAAAACTCTGCTCTCATGCAGAAATTCCTGATTCTCTGCCCATGGCAGGGGGTTGGGAGTGGATGAGTTTTAAGGTCCCTTCCAACCCAAACCATCCTGTGATTCCATGATTTTGTCAAGTCCTGGGAGATGATCTTATGGCTAAATATGGTCAGGACTTGAGTGCTGTGCCTTGTCCAAGGCACGGTGACATCGGTGGTTCCTCTTTCCAGATGAAGAGTTGGCGGCAGCAGCTTATTTTTAGTGGTGTGGGTGTAAAATATTGAATTTCACATGGCCTGAGCTCGGTCTGCTCTGCCCTGGTGGGTTTTGTGCCCAAGATCCAGCCAAGCTCGAGGTCTGGGGCTGACATCATGGGATCAGAGAATCCTGGAGTGGTTTGGGGTGGAAGGGACCTTAAAGCTCATCCAGTTCCAATCCCAACACCTTCCACTATCCCTGGTTGTTCCCATCCAACCTGGCCTTGGACACTTGCAGGGATCCAGGGGCAGCCACAGCTTCTCTGGAATCTGTGCCAGAAACATCTGAAAACACAGCTGGAAATGCAAACAGATTTATATATTGGACAGGTGATTCCCACGTCCCTGCTTCCAGGAGACTCTGCAGCTGTTGGGACATCACCTGGAGACTTCAGCTCCCTGGGAATGAGCAGCTGAGGGCCTGAGGAGTGGGATTCTACCCTCCAGCTCCTGAAGTCAAAGGGAATTTCTCTGTGACCACAACAGCAAACAGACCATTAAAACATCTGTTCAAAAACCTTTCCACGTCCCATTTTCATTCACTGCTACTTCATTCTGCTGCACAGAATTGTACCTGGTGAAAGGTTTGGGATAGATCAGTGGACTGGAAAAGGCTCTGAGGATTGAAACCTCCAATCCCACCTGGGCAGGTGCTAATCCAGCAGCTGAGCCCACCCCAGCTGACTCCTGTCACGCCTCTTGGGCGTGTTTGGCCCTAAAAAATGATGTTCAGAGCTGGTAATGGAAAAGAGATTCTTAGAACTGAGCTTTTGGGAAAGAGTTGTGGGGTTTTCAAGCTTTCTCCATCCCCCCTTTTCATCTTTGGGGAGCCCCTCAGCACATTGCTGTGTGGGACCAGCTCAGGTTTCTGGAGGAAACAGGATTTAGGTGATTCTAATGTGTCTGTGAGGGAATGATGGGCCTTGTTTGTACCCTGGTGCTGCTGAGGTGGGAGCAAACCAGCCCAGGTGTCCAAAAAAATCCTGGATTCAGGAGGAGAGTTTGGGATAAGAATGTGCCTCACTGTGCAGGAGGGAAGAGGGAGCAGAGCGAGGAACACGGGTGAAGCTCAGGGCCTGCAGTAGGGGTCTGTTCCACCTAAATTACAAACAAACTGTTACCTGAACCCTGATTTTGAGAGGGAATTAAATTCCTGCAGTGATGGCCCAGTGGTGTTCCCCTCAGAACCTGATCCCAGTGTCATTCCTGAATTCTGGTGCCACATTCAACCAACTGGACCACAGTTCCAAATCCCAAAGGTAACACCTTTAATGGACGTTTGTGAGAGAGAAACCCTTCATTTATGCCTTCTCTAAGTTTAATCACAGCCAAAAAACTTCAAATCCAGGAAGAAACGGGACAAGCATTCCCAAAGCATGGAAAAGCCTTCACACCTATGAGATACCAGAGGGTCCACACAGGAGAAAACCCCCAAAAAGAGGACTCTGGGTGCTGACCAGGCAAGAGCTGCTCTGGGTGAGGTATAAATCCTGGGGTTTTTCCCCCCACGTGGTTTTCCTGGTGTGTAGGAAGGGATAAAAGCCTGAAAGAGCCCCAGTTCAGTTTGGTTTAAATTCCATCAGCCCTGAGGCACGAATGGACACCAGTCTCCATCCCTTCCAGCACGGACAGGACTAACACACATTTTAGTGCTTGAAAGAAAACGTTTCGTTCTGCTCTTTCCCCCTGTAATTTCTTTCCTCTCCCAAGACCACATAAAGCAGAAGTGAGACGCTGTGAGAAGGATGGTTCTCTGGGTAGCTCAGAACACATGAAATGCTCTTTTTTTTTGGCTTTTTCAGCAGGACAGGAGCCAGGCCAGGGCAGGAGAATCACGCGGAGCCACCGGCGCTGGTTCCCGAGCCAGGCAGAGTCCCGGCAGTGAGGACTGGAGATGCTCCTGCCTCGGCACAGCGGCGGCCAAGAGCTCGATTTAAGAACCAGATGAGTCTGAACCTCCTTGGAATTCCTTCAAAAATCTGCCAGCACTCTCCTCCCTGCCGAAAACCGGATAAATCCCCTTCGTATTCCCGGCTCCGAGCGAGGCCCTGAAATATTATCAGTGCTCTTTGACACCC